TCCACTGAAGAAGTCAACAGTCTCCGTTTGTGCTTATATTTTATTAATACAAACTCGTTAAGTACCTCTATTAAATGGGAACGTTCAGTTAGATGTGGAGTTAACACTGGCTGTGAGGCAATTCTAAACTCAAAGCATAGTTTAAGATTTCTAAAAATTTTATGATTGCACCATTATTAGCTTTCCTCTTATTCTCCCACATCCCACCCTTTCAGAAACTTAACTGTACCATGGAAAAGAAAGCACTGCAGACACTAACAGAAGGAACTAAATGCTCTACATGCTGCTTATTGTCTTGCAGCTCAAGGAAACATCTAAGAGAAAATGTCAACTGTGCTAATCTTTTGATTATCTCTGGTTTGGATGTGAGAAGACCTTGGAAAACAGAACAACCCCCTGGGAATTCACAATTACCCCAGGGAAACGCATTCACAGATTCAAGGCCTCTCCAGACACTCAAGGCTCTTATGCTTTCTTTTTTTTTCTTTTTGGCTTCATCTCTATGTTTTGTCTAAGTTTTTTCCTAAAAGAGGATTAAGAAGACATGAGCAGGGCTAAAGAACTGCTGTAAGACAAACGTAACACAAACTGGGATCCAAAAACAGTCAGACTGTACATCATCTCAAGTCTCAAAACACAAGCTAAGAATTATTATGTGGAAGCAGATATGATATTTCCATTTATATCGGAGTGAATAATCGGCTGCTTCAGCACATATCTCAGACACATTTTTTCCCCAAACAAATGCAACACATACTTATGAAACCTTTTTTGTTTTGCTTTCCATAGAAATGTTAATATATTCTGTCCAATATGCTATATTCATATTAGATCACTCTCAAAATTGGAAAAAGGAAAAAACAAAACTGTATTATTTTGGTGACAGTTTCAGATCAGAACGATTATGCAATCAAGGCTAAAAAAAAAACATAAAACCAACTTTATTTTCTGAATTTTGCAGGTACATTACTTTAAACTAAACATCAAGAACATTACCTGGCAACATATTTAGTACTTTTAATGGAACAAAACAGAGCCGAAAAGAACAAATCTGTCTCTTTCTACAGAAATCCAAATCATATTTTCAGCAAAACGTGGACAAATACATTGCTCACATCTAATCTGCACATGCTAAGCCCAAACAACCGACATCTAAGGCTTTTGCTCCCAGTTTTTTAAAGGCATAACTCTGACAATTGCTTCTCAAAATGCTAGACTCAAATCAGAGAGTAACGTTCACCTGCTTGCACTTCTTCTAATTTGCCTCTATTTTAACTGACTGTGTGATGGTGATTGAGGCAGCAGACAGGAGAAAAAAGTTGCCGAAGAACTAAAATGTTCTTGAAAATAAGTGGGATGCACAACAGATTATATCATAATAGCCCACAATTAGATTCAAATGACAAAATTAGGCAGAACAACACACAGGTTTTGACTATTTATAAACTCACCAAAAAAAAAAAAAAAAAAGGACTGTGCAGCCAAAATATAAAAAATCTACTGTATGTTCCTCGGTCCTTAATTTCAAAAGAGCTGTATGAGACTCAAGAGGAGCTGAAAGGCTGACAAAGACAACAGATGGGCACAAAGAGGAGCAGAGAGAGACTGGGGTGATAAGGTGAGTTATTCTCTCTGAGTTCAGAGAGAGAGGATGAGCTCTGATATGTTTAAAAAAAAAAAAAAAGTAAAAAAACGTCACACAACAGAAAAAGCAGAGCCAGCAGGCTGCGGTAAACCACCCGCTCCCCACAGGGACATCCAAAAAATGATTCAATCCTCTTGGCTTGCCATCTGCATATGTCCACCCAAGGCAGGGAGGGACAGGGAAAAAAACTGCATATTTTGACATTTATATCAGTGAAGGACGATTTTTTTTTCTTCAGCTGCAGGCTGCTGCCACTGAAGCATTAGCCCCTGACCCGACTCACAGGAGAAACCAAACATCAGGAAAAGTGGAAATCTACTTGTAGCTACGCATACGGGGGAAAAAACTGCAGTGTGTGTGCTATAAGGTGCAAAGTATTAAAGATATTTGACTCACAATCTGTTGCTGGATTTTAATTTGACTAAAAACCTGGATGCAGGTTGTGGTAATTGACCGTAGAGGACGCCTGCCATCAAAGTTACCTTAACAGGGCAGGTTATATGAGAAGACAAAAACTTTTAACAACTCAGTGCACACTTTTAATTTCTCCTGAGGCTGCAATTGCACTGCAGACCTTGCTACTCGATTCAGTCGTTTTTTCAGATCTTATTATTATATTTGACTATATTCAGGCCTCCATCCTGAAATAATAACAGTCATAATATTATTTATTATTAATGCCTCTATTTGTATAGCACCTTTCCAAAACAAAGCTCTTCACAATAAATGTGAAATTAGACAAATATTGAAAACAAATGTATAAGATCGCAAACATGCAACATAAACAAGACAGAACAGTTAAGTCAGGTCAAGTTTTCATATAGCACATCTGAAACGAAAACTGCCAAAGTGCCTTCCAGTAAAAAAGGATTAGAATTTGCATTGTGAAAGTAACCTAACAAGGCTAAACATTGCAGTTAAGACCCTGTAGTGTTATTTAAGGTGCCATTATAGCTAAATAATTTGCATATTAGAGATTAAACCCTACAAAAATGATGTAAATTACAACTTTACTTGCCTCTAATACATATTTAGGATGTGCACCTACTGTGTTATTAATTATGGAGAGTAACGTAACTCATCTAGCGAGACTTTACGGTATTATAAATGATGAAATTGATCCTAAGTAAAACTAATAAAAGACTTCTGGGCAGCGTGTCAGACAGATCGCATATTAGCCTAAAATTACCAAATGTTTTTTTTCCCCTCCTTTTACTTGAGACAGTTCTTGCGGTGTTTGTTGTTTACGATATCAACTTCTGCTTTCAATGTGGGTCAAAAACAAACCTTTAAAATCTTGTATTTGTTTGTAGATACACAAATCTGTTTGCATGGCTGGCGAGGAGAATTCTGAGTTCGGGCACTTATCAGCCGCAGAGTGAGAGCAGCCTTCCAAGTCTGTCAATAACACATAAGCGTAAATCCTGGGGGAACTGCCACCCACCCCCAAAGATCAAAGAAGCCTAACACATCCCCTTCACAAACTCAGACTCCAAAACACACTGGACATGACGCGCTTGTGAAAAGCTTCACTTTGGTGTCCACTTTGACCAATTAAAAATGAACAAACCACAAGGAGAAAAAAAAGGCTTTTTCTGAATCACATTACCAACCGAGGCCTCGTGTGTGTGTGTTACATCTCAAGATTCTGCTGCTGATGTATTTTGTTAAATACTGTTTCGGTGATGTTAGATTTTAATGACAGAGGCACTGTGGGATGACCTAGATGGCCTTTTGAAAACTGGGTCTGTCTTGGATTTGTCCCGACATGGGATAAACCTGCGTGGGGCCGTGCAGGTTAACAATCATACAATAGTCGCCCAAAGTAGGTCAAAGCACAGATGCACTCATGGATGACATTTTGAATGAATGCTTGCACACACTGTCTTTCGGTTTGCAGTGCTTAATGCTCCCCATCCAACCGCATTCAGACGCTCACCGCGGCCTGCAAGTCTTACACAAACTTACAAAGCAGCTGTTAATGGGGTGTAAACACAATGGGAACGGTGCTCAACTGGCTCCTTTCAGCTAATGTTACATGCAACGCCGACATTAACGGACATAAAAATTCATATTTTTAAGTCGAGATCACAAAGAGCTCAGTGTAATAGTCGTCAGTGTCAGCTTTTGAGACAGAGTTAAGAGAAAGTGTCATTTCTGCTCTGTTCCTGCTAGTTAATCTCACTGTAAATTGGAACCATTCCACTAATGTAAATACAGGCTGTTAAAAAGACAGATGAAGATCCTTTACTTCCAAGTAGCTTCTGAGCCAATTCAGCTAATTTTAGTTAATTTAGAAGCAAGTGGTGCAATTTAAAAGCTCATAGCAAGAGTAATTTAGACTTCTGTGCAACTGGAAGTGGACATACTTTGACTGATGGTGACATTGAGGAAATCACTAATGGCTTAGCTTTTACATAAAATGAACTGAAGGGTTCTCAAACTCATTAATAAACCTCTTAAGACCTGAGCTGTTGTTTGATATGCAGTTTTCATTTCTATTTGATCTGATCAAATAGCAAAGACAAAAAATAATAACAATAAAAATAAAGAAAATAATAATAAAATACTAAAATCTTATATATATTTTTTTTCTTTTTTTTTTTTTTTACTTAAAATTAACACCAGGTCTTAAGAGGTTAAAGGTCCACATCAGACTTTTATTCTGAGGTCCGAAACTATTAGTGACAACAAAATAAAATCACTTGTAAGTTTGTGGGACACATTTGAGGCTAGTGGGAGAAATGGAGCTGCTTCCTTTGCAATCAGCTTCATCAGCACGACTCCTGAATTTCGAGTACAACGTAAACGTCACATCTCTCGTGAGCGCAAAACATGACTCAGACGGTTATTTTCTATTTATTTTCTGACTCAGACGTGTTCTTACATTCACACGAGTTTGCAGAAACTGCGTGGCGGAGGACAAACGAGACAGATTGCGTTTCTATTTAGGAGCTGATAGCAAATTCTCTGGTGTAGCATTAATTCGGCGGCGACAGCACTCTCGACGGCGGCTGAAATCGCCATGACAACCATGTCAACAACTGGGACATAAGCCGCATTAAGTCCGCAATCATCTGGGGACAGGATCTCTGTGAATAATCTCCAGCTACACTGTACATTTAACATTGATGACAACAGAAAATGCATTTTCAAACAGACAACTTCATAATGTATTCGTGACAGGAGGTACGGGCAAGGTCGGTATTGACTTGACCCTGATCATGTTTTACCTTGAAGTGCATTTTGCAGCTACTCTCATATCATTTTAATCTGCAACCATCTTCTTAGCAACTCCAGTGGCTTTCTCAGGTGAATGACGTGTATTAAGAGAAAAAAAAAAAAAAGGTCTCACCTCTCTTGGCATTGGCTTGTCTCACTCGCCAAACTGTCTTGTGGATCTCAAAGTTGTAATTTGCAGGCAGGGCTTTGATAGCTTCCTGTAACTCGGGGTCTTGGAGGATTTCATCTGGAATTTGATTGGCTACTCGCCGAGGTCCTCGAGCTGGAGAGAGAAGGTAAATTATTGAGCTGTTAGCGATGCGGTGAACACAGGACGGAGCATTCAGGACGTGCCTAACTCTGCAGATAAAGTTCAGGAAAGCTGTTTTTCCCAAATCCAAACTTTAGAAACGCATGGGCTGCTTGAAATGTCGGCTGAAATTGGAGAAACGTTGAGGGACATTTGGTTTCGATTTTACAGGAACGGAATCTGAGTTGAACGCAGCCCTACTTGTTCTCCGGTACAGGCAGGATTTCAATGACAATCAGTGTATTCTCTAAAATGTGCACTGCATTAGCATTTTTTAAAGAACTGCCTTTTGCTTGATATCCTCTGAAACTGGACATTTATTGTGTTCTGGGCATCTGTCTGCACTTTTTAACAAGCTTACACATCCTCTGTTAATCAAAGTAGAGCACTTCGCTTTGCACCATTTCATTGACACGAGCGGTTTGGTGTTGGGCCTAATAAATAATTCAGACATTCAAAAATATATTACATTGCATTTGTAAGATCATTTTGTCTCCAAAAATGTAAATGTACAACTTGTTACACAGTCATAAACTGCGGTTGTAAAAATTCATGTAGTCGCTTTTTATATAAATCTTTTGCCTCCAGACGCCAAAGATCATGTTTTGCTTTTCCTCCATAACAGCTGTGGAAATGAGAAAAATCCAAGCTGACTTGAGTTATTTTTTTCCAGCTCAGTCCAAGGAAATTACATATTTAAATCATGAATTTAAATGAAAAAAAAAAAAAAAAAGAAGAAATCATGTAAAATATTTAAGAAACTGCACTCGCTCAAAATTGCTGGTCCTGTTCCATCTGTCATCACTACAAATGACTTGACAAGTTTAAGAAGACTCCTTGCCTTCTTTCTTAGAATAAACTTGATTAGAAATTTTTTGTAGGCCTGTCTAAAATGTGAGCCACGTGTATTAACATCACCTCTCTGTCAGTATCTCTGCACAATCTCCCTTTATATGAAGATTACTTTCTGTGTTTGAGACTTTCTGGCAGTTCAAACCATTTTGTCCTGTGAGAGCTTCTCATCTTGTTCCTCTTTGAAAACAGGACTCACCTAAGAACTGCAGTCTCAGTGCTTCCCACATACAAAGTAAAGAAATATGCCCCGACACTAATATCTTTGTATTTCTGTGTTTGTCTTCCTTTTAAAAGTCACAAAGTGGAAGCGCATTAGAAAATGCAGACTCATTAAAAAGTTTGTCGAACTAGTGGAGAGCCCACTTTTGCTAAATTAGCTTTGTAAGCAATGGGATGCTGCAGGAAACACTGTACGGATGCCAGGAAAAATAACCTTCTTTGTCGAGTAAACACCATTGTCACTGACAGGATATCACCACGATATTCTTTATCTTGCACGCAGCTTTCTTCCTCAGTTGCAAATGGTCATTATTCTAAAAGGTTCAAAGAAACTAAATACAGTACATTCAGTATAGGAACAAACCCTGTAACCCTGCAACGTAGTTAAATAAAATCCAATTATAATAACTAAGGTATTATACTCAATAGTACGCTGCTGTGATCAGGGGTTTTTCAGGCAATAAATCAGACAGATCAAATAGGGCAATAAAACGGCTTATATTACCCCAAAACAACAGGAAGTTAGGCAAATGCATGATACTGTATACATGTGTAAACACGTCATATCAGATATGTACACAGCACGCATTTAATACAAACTGATGCATGCCGAACACAGTGGCCGGATCTGTACGACCTTCTGCTCTGGACACTTCTTCTGGACACCAGGAACCACTGTTTAGGTCAAAAGGCAGCAAAGCAGACCTAAATCATGAAGCTCCCTCCACCATAGATCACCGTTGGGATGACGCTGTCATATTGGTCTCACGTGTTCTTTATACACCATTTGTAGCGCTGCATATTCCTCCCAAACAGCTCAGCCTTAGTCTACAGTAATGCAGTAGAGTGTCAAGTTGCTCTTTGGCAGTCTTCAGACAGGCTGCAATTTTCGCCGTTGCATCCTAATTTTGCATATCCAGACCATCCTGTTGCTCATTATCATTCTGCTATAGTAGAAAACTGTGCTCTGGCGTGTTTGCATTTCTTTAAACCAATCATATTGGGCAGAGTTAAATGAAGGACGGAGCAACGCAGCCCCATAAAACAGTGACGGGGGAATTGTTTTGGTGGTACAGTTGCACGCAAGGAGGTGAGGAGTGTCACTAAAGTGGCACTTAAAATAAAAATAGCAAGGCTGCCTTACTGCACGATCCAAATCCTCTGCAAAACTTGAAAGTTTCAGTGTGGTAGGCTGCTGCACGGAGGTTCTTATTGGCATTCCAAAAGAGATTTTGAAAATGGTAACATGAAGACAGCAGAAGAGAGGAGCCAGTGGCAGGCTCATACCTGCAATCTACAGCCGGTGAGTCACACCAGTGGTGTCCTGCCTACATTGGTACATTCAACAAAGGCCCCAAGGATCCTTTAAGGCCTTCAGCTCTTACTCAAGGCTTTTTCCAAAAAGAAAAAATTAAAAATCTCAGTCAGTATTATGGAATGTGTAGACACGGTATCCACAGTGTTCAATTTTAATTTTTCCATTTACATTTTTTTCCATTTGAGATAATTTTGTAGCAATTCTTTATTGTAAGACTTTTGAGATTTTTTTTTACTTTGAAAGCCGGTTACAAATAAATGTCTCAAAATGTTTGAGTGCTTTTTAATTGAAAGTAGATCAACCCACATGTTTAATGTTGCTACACTGACTGGACTCCAGGTTTGATATATGTTGACTCCAATTAGATCAAGGCTGAAGCGATTCCTCAAGGAATTCGATTACTAAAATGCCTTGAGGCAACGCTTCGTGTAATCCACTATATACTATACTAAAGTCGTGACTCGAAAAACCTAATAATCTGAAAACCTTGCTATCCGACAGGTTTTTAGGAAAAACGAACGGAACCCACGAAAAATAGCCTTAACATACCGACAGCCTTGGATTCAGACTCTGACATGACATTTTATGTCACAAATAAGGATAACGGTGTATCATCTGACTCAACAATCCGACAGATTGGCTACGTTCAGACTGTAGGACTTAATGTTCAATTTGGATTTTTTGTGAAATCCGATTTTTTTGCGAGATCGTTCACATTTCCACTTAAATGTGACTTGTATGTGATCTGCTGTGTGAACTTCATACGACCCAAAAGTGTCCCGCATGCGCAGAAGAGGACACAACGATGTCACAAGCAGCCAGCGTGGTGGCGGTGCGGCTGGGGACTGAAGCCCGGAGCCAAGACACAGCCGTTAAAATCACACCTCCTACAAAGGTTTGACCATTGGTAGAAACAGAAGTGTGACCAGTAACTAAACTGGCATCAGCAGCCAAGTACTGCCTGTGTGTTCCGGCCACTTCCACCCCGTCGGAGCACTCCCCCGGGGTGGAAGTGTCCCACCGACCGCACCGAATATTCAGATATTCATCATTAATTGGGCTTGAATATCCGGAGACCAGAAAGTGCTATTGGGACCAGCCCTATTAGTTATTTTAACAACTATAAACAATGAATATTAACAACAAATGACTCCTCAAGCATCAAGCCCTCCTTGTACTCGACCTCCGTCTTGACAATCCGACAGCCTTGCTATCCGACATAAAAGAAGGTTTTACATTTAGTGTCGGATTATCGAGTCACGACTGTATATATGCACGATACAATGCGTACGTCCGCCCGCCTGTGTTCCGCCCGGACTGTTATTTCTGTTGCACATTGCGCTCACTTCCGCTTTTGAAGCTTTAACGCGCAGAATGCAAAATGTAGACAGAGAGAAAAACGGTGAGCGGCAGGGGGAGCAAAATAACCCGCGGGAACAAAAATATTACTATTAATTTAAGCTAACTTCAATTAATAAAATGATTTTTTGTTTGTTTTTAAATCATTACTCGATTAATCGCCAGAGTAATTGATAGAATACTTGATTATTATAATAATCTATAGCTTTAGCCCCAAATTAGATCTTGTCGCTGTCCTAAGTTGCGGAGTTCACAAACTTTTTTCAAATCTAAAAACATACAATATAGGAACCGTTTGAATAGCGTTTTTAATATGGACACGTTTGATCAATATGATTAGCATAGCAGTTAAAACAGATTAAGTTTACTCATTGATGTGAGAAAGATAAAGATCGGGCCGTATTTGAGATAAACGTAAAAACAGGTAAATCCATATGATGCACTTCCCTCTTGCCTCTAGATTTAAATATGTTTTTTACTCTTCATTCCGGTGTCATTTCTAACAGACTAGAATGACCAGGAGACAGTTTCAGGAATAGTTTAACGACAAGATCATGATAAAATAGACAGTAGTGTATAAACGGCGTTTCTTTCTCCCTGAAAAGAGACAGAACTTTGCTGCACTAAATCCAAAGTCGTGACTGTGGAGCTGATCCAACCGTATTAATGAAACATATGACATCCTGCACGGCAGATGACCTGAGTCAGCTATACACGCAGATTGGATGATAACTATTGGTACAAATGTTTTGTCACGACAATAAAACGATGCAACAGAATAGTGAGTAAACACCACGCACACTAGATGACGTTACTCGTTTTCTTGTTTGCATCACAGTCAGAAGACTGAAAAAAGGTCCGTGTAACTGCACGTCGTCAATAAAGTAGCCCGGTTTCTATGAAGACCTTATAAACGTTAAACATTTCTCCCTGTTAGACATTAAATAAGAGACGTTAATGTTTACCTGCAGGCTTTTTGACAGGAACAATCTGCACGTCAGTCGTGGGCGCTGCCATGTTTTTTCTCCCAAACACGAAACACGTGAGGTGCAGAAAGGCGAAAGCAATCGAATGCAGAAAGGAGTGCAGAGCAGCCGAGCGCCGATGTACTCGATGTCACTGATGGGACAAGAAGACAGGTGATTGTGCTGTGGACTGTTTTATACAGTCTGGGGACAGAGAAAACTTTCTATACGTTAAACATAAATGCCCATTTTTCGCATTAAGTAAAACATAAAATGACATAAAAAGTTATGAAAAGAAAATATTGCACAAGTTCTTAAAACGTATTGGTTGCTGAATGCTTTGCATGCCATGTAAGTCAAATTAGGAAATAAAAATAAATAAATAAAAAAAATAAAACAAAACAAAAAAGGATAAAGGAAAATATAAGATAAGCTTACAATAGATAAAATAGAAAAAAATACAAATTAATTTAAGGTGGTCACAGTGCTTTACATATGATGTGAATAATAAGTTTAAAAAATAATAGTGAAAATAAATATATCAAAACAATGAAATGCATTAATGAATGGCAACATACAATTAATAAATAAAATGTCATAAAATTAAATAAAGCCCAATTCTCAATAAATTGAATTAAATTAAATTAAATTAAATTAAATTAAATTAAATTAAATTAAATTAAATTAAATTAAATTAAATATAGCCCAAGTCTCGTAAAATAAAATGAAATACAATAAAGCTTCATTTTCCATACAGCGAGGTATTTTCTGGTTGCATTACATAATGTAAATTAAATTAAATTAAATTAAAT